GGGGGGGGGGGGGGGGGGGGGGGGGTGCTCCTGGGAATTCTTAGTGGGGGTGTGTGCTGCCCGGTTCTCCAAATCCTGACCCTATTTCAGACCAAAACAGGTAATTTTCCTCACCCATTTTCAGACCATACCTCTAAAATCCATACCCATTTTCAGCCTTTAGGCAGAAATAATGTTATCATTACTTAGATTAGTTCGCAAACAAAAAAATCCTTCAAGTCCATTTCGAATTAGCATATTTCTCTTTCTTTCTTACTCATTTGGAATTAAAGTGATAAATAGGTTCATATACTCCTACAGTTCCCTCGAAAACCCTAACCTATTCCAGACCAAAATGAGTAAAGTGTTTTGCAATTTTCAGACCAAGACAGTGCAAAAACCCCTCCTGATGGGGCAGCACATACCTATATAGCTTATATTAGGGAGTACCCCCCCCCCCCGGAGGGAATGGGGAGGGAGCTCTTGTAGGGTGGGGTCAGCTGTATTGGCAGGCCTCACTTCATGTTTTGATAGTGAGTTTACACAACAGGATTGCAGGAACAAGAGAACGGCAAAACGCTTGAGCGTGACAAACATGACAGGGCCATTATACTTTTGAGCTTTGTCGTGATCTTCCTGTAACGTTAATTCTCTCTGGTCTTTTACAGAAAGGTCTGTTTAATGGAGGTTTATAGTTTGGTGAAAAGTTATTTTGAACAAAATTATTGTCACGCTTGTCACCCAAGGTTTGCTGTCTTCTATCCTCTTCCATCTTGTTGTGTATTTGTCACTACTATTAAATAGATGGGAGACCATAGAGCCTTTCAGGTCCCCTTCCCTAATCCACAATTGCAATCCATAGCTCTTTCTCTGCTGAGTAACGGTCTAATTGGAGCTTTTACAGAATCTATTGGCACGAAAAGAAGGACTTTTCTAGCAGACTTTAGAAAACGTTTGTAACTCATTTTAAATTCATTGAACTAATAATAGCAACACATGCAATACCTTGAATATTTGGCTGCTGTAGCTGTTTGGTGTTTCCATGGCAACTGTTTTCCCCCCTAGTGTTTGATTGCCAAAAATGTTTATCATTGATATGATGGCTGTAAGCAATTTTGGTATAAATGTAACCTGTGCAAGCAGCGATAGCACACTAGCCATATATTTACGGGTCTTGTATAAATTATTTTAATTAACTCCGGCGAGTGACTTCACAATCATGAAGAAACAACACTTGTCTTCTTTCAAAGTTAGTTAGTCAAGGTACTTTACTTCCATGTATTTTTGTGTGTTTTTAGATAAACTTTCAAACAAGCTCTTGTGGCTTTTTTGTTTGTTTGTTATTTTCGCGATGAAATTGCATTTTCTAGTATTCTAAGGAATGAATTAAAGCAATTTGCTTCGGGTGCCATTCTATCCTTCGCTGAAAAAAAATCTCAGCTAGCTTCCAATTTTAAACTGATGCGTACACCGACCATATATGCAGAGTATGGTATAATGGCTCATATACAATAATGGCTAAGCCAATCAAAACGCTAGAATTGCATTATCAAATGATTCAGTTTTTAATAATATAAAATATACCTGGAGTTATGAAAAGTGGTTAGTAAACATTATGTAATTTTTCTCAACTTCCCCTGGGCTAAAAGCTCATTTACTGTGTTGTTTTGCTTATGTCGTTTTTTTTTTAATTATTTTTATTTTTGCTTGGTTTGTGGTCAGGGATTTGTGTAGAAGTGGATGTAGACAGAACTGGTATCTTACCCCCCACCCCCCCTCCCTTGTGTTTAACACAAGTGACAGTTATTTGAAATCAGTGCGCGCCTAAAGCTGGTTTCGGTGCTGTTTAGCAGTTTAGTTTTAGATATTGGTCACCTTGAGAAAAGTTCCCCAGAGAGCATCATGTAAAGCTCTTAGATGGGACAAAGTTATTACGATTCACAGAGTCTGCATCCTCCAGTATCGTATTATATTCCCCTTTTATTTGGCTAAACAGATCAATTACCCTGCAGATCCGGTTGATACAGAAAGGTACGATATTGTTCGCTTTTCTAAGGTGACCACTAAGTCTTTGGCTTCGGGAGCAGGCTCTTAGGAGTCAAATGAATTAGGTGAGAGCAAAATTGCAGGTGAACTTTGACCCAGGCCAGGCTTAGTTTTTTTTCTGGTGTGAAAACAAGGCTAAGGTGATCCGCGGAACTGCGGTTTGGCCAAAATATTCTATGCCAGCCATTTATGTTGTTTCGTTGGTGTTTAGCTTAGCTCATTGCACCTTGGAAAAGCGACTCTCGACTCAGGAAAATTGGATCTAGGTCTGGTTTCAGTGGGCTCTAATGGCATTGAACCATAGGCCGATTTTTGTAGATATAAGAAAGTGATAATTTGTGCACTACATTTCATTCAGTTTGTTGTCTATTCCATGCGGAATCCTGTTGTTTATCGAACTGCGAAAAAAGTAGTGTTTTGCTAACTATTTAAGAGGTTGTTATGTAAGCCTTGACCAGGCACTCTTTTGCTGCAGTTCACTCAATTTAAAAATTTCTAGATTGAAATGACACCGGTTTGAAACTTCGTGAAGTCAGTTTACTGAATGATAAATGTTCTAAAATTTGTGTCATTTTAAATTTGGAGTCATTGGAATGCTTCTAGGGACCATTAAGTTACTGCCCGGTGTCAGATAAAGGCCTTTGAATGAGTTTTATTGTTTTAAATTGCCAAGTAGAAGAGATGAGGTGATATTTTTGCTAACCCGGTTTCAAAAATCCAGGCATAAATATACTAATAATAATATATGTAATAATAATAATACCATGTTGCCATGGTCTTTGGGTCCCTTATTAAAATAACTAAATTATTTAAGTAAGTACATAAGTAATCGATGAGAACTAAAAATTGGCTTAAAGATTTAAGAAGAATTAAATATTCATATTTACTGCCGTGTTTATGACCAGTAGAGGCAAGTGTTAGTGACTGGAGGTTGACAATTAAACCAGTGGCAGATCCAGGGGAGGAATGTACCCCCCCCCCCACCCTTATTTTTAGACCAAACTGAGGCCCTAAGGGCCTAAAAAGATTTTTTTGAGACCTGCCCCCCCCCTTATCTCAGGGTCTGGATGACCACCCCCCCCCCGCTTATCTGAAGGTCTGGATTCGCCACTGTAAACGTTCTGTTGACATCCTTCAAGGAACTGAACTAAGCGCTCTTTTATTTCTTAACCAAGCTTTTTTCACTGAATTTAGATGAGTTTGCATTGATTGGCTGTTTTGAGAAATTTGCTTAAAGGAGAAGTTCAGACAAAAAAAAGCCAGAGTTAACTAGCATTTACCATATATGTATGATAGATAGTGTAAATACCATAATTCTGTGTGATTTCTCTGTCAGGTATCCCATAGCACAATTGAGCTATCTGTAAGTTACAAGTTGACTTTGAAGGTTCATTAAGAAAATTGATTAAAATCTGGGAATGTTGCGTTGTGTAATCGTTTGAATTTTTTTTGTCGATAATCTTCAGCGGTGGGATTGGGGATTTTAGAGGAAAAAGGAAAAAGATTCGGGAATTTAATATTATAAGCGGGATGTATGGGATTTGGAGATTTTACCATCCGAGTTCAGAAAATGTTGTATATTCGCTACGAAAAATGAGCTTTGTGAGCTTTTTAAACTTTGAAAAGATCCTGTCAATTTGACCTAACACAAATTGCCCACGCCTGTGCCCATCTCGAACCTCTACAAAGCCTCCTTAATCAATTATCGAGGATCTAATTTTTAAAAACGAACTCGTGCCCAGCGCTACCCCTAAAAGAATGTGAAAGATAAAATGGCGGCCACTAAATCATATGTTCGGAATCGTGATTTTAAGAGAACTTTGTTCATAATAAAACTAGTAATTAAATACTGCTTTCCAAATGCTTTTTAGCCTGAATAGGAGAGCAATTAATTGGAACCTGAGCCGATAATAAAGTAGACTCTTAAACACGTTCTTTTTTTTAACTTTTGATATAGCCTAAGAAAACACTGGAAAACAGCTGACATTTCGCGCGGCCTCGACTGGTTTCTCAGGATGCTTTGGGGAAACACCTTAAAACTGTTAGTAAAGTTTCCTTGGTTTGAGAGTGATTTGCTGGAAATTAACTATGATATAGCTTAACAAAATCGGGAAACTTTGCAGACGTCCGATCATCGCCGTCGTTCTTTAAGTTCCTTACTGTTTGAAGTCCTTCCGAACCAACTCTGGTTTCAGTTTTCCATAGCTCAGAAATTTTCTCTTCATTGTCGCCGCTTCGAGGCTCTCTCTCTCTTTCACGAAAAAAATAAATAAAGAAAAACCTGTGGGACCAGGGTA